TACCTCTTGAAGGTCAGACGAGACAAACAGCGGGAAAATGTGAAGAGAGTCGTCTGATTGTCGGAGAAATTGGACATTCAGACAGTTTATATTTACACTTATTTGGGAGGATTTCCCCGTCTGACCTCAAGGAAGCTTGATTCCACGCCAACAATGTTTGATATTTCGAGGGTTTGGGAACCGTCAAAAGAAATTATCACCCAGTCTTGTAGTCTCAGGTTTGATCAAAGTGACAGTTGACGGACTTCAGGTTTTTTGTATCTTGTGGGCTAATTCTTTCCTCCTGCACAAGTGTGTCAGGTATGGAGAAACCACTCTTCTGTGTTGGAAGTAAACAAGTTTCATCGGTCAACAAACACTAAAAAATCGGCCTACTCAATTCCGCTCTTTCAACCACCGTAGAACAACAGAGAATGAATTATAGAGAAGTAATATAATCGCCGTAGAAATGGTTCCTCAATTGATGCTCATCTTTTTGGAAAGTGCGTGCGATAAATGACCTTGGGGAGTATATATTTTAGGCCTAAGATGTAATATGCAGTGAGCACTGGTGCTATTGCGTGCACTTAGCCAGACAGAGAACAGACCTGAGTGATTGGTCAGGATGTGGTTTACCTGGAAGTCACCACGAGTGGGAGTATCACAGATACTGAGAAGGTTGAAATATGAAAGGGGAGGTGTTGGTGCATGAATAAATTCTCTCACCATAATTTGAAGGTACCCATCAAGCATAGCCAAAACGAAAGTACAAATGAATCATAGAAAATGTTAACTGAGGTTTGTGAGCAATGTGGTGCTACTTAGGTGTAGCTGATGATGACTTTACTGAAATGAGAGAATCTAGGACCACATGATACAGCCAAACAATCCGTGCCATCAAGAGAGTAGGGAAATATTACGGAGGACTTGTCGCACCACTTGGGATTGATACAGATGGCAAGTTAGCCACCTCTTTCTTCTTGCGATGTATACGGTACTGACGGAAGCAGGTGAACACTAACATTTGGAACCTAGCTTCATTCATGTTGGCATTCATCCAATTTTCTTGTAAACATGAAGTACATGCATTTCCAAAGCTGCATCCCATGAGCAGGTATGTAAAATCTGATGGCTTGTTGGAAAGAGAACTCATATTATCACAAATGACCCTTAGAACTGCCATATTGCTTGGCGCTTTCCTTTTAAAAGCAGCCTGCCAAACACCTCTCTTAGGTTTCTTTGTGTGATAGTTCCGAGTTCAGACTTCGGATATTGGAGACGCATTTTGTTGTCCAAGCATGTCTTTTATCGATGGCATACACCGCTTTGAGCAATTTTGATCACGCAACATGCCAAAGACGGATCGAATAAAATAAATAGTTCCGAAAAAAGTAATTCCAAGGTCGAACTAGCACATGGCACAGCCAATCAAAGAGCCCGCGGTGACATCCACATTTTGAACATGAAGCCCCACACCGCGTACTAAGCTGTACATTCACAGAAAAGCGTTGTGGAAGTTATAATTCATTACTTTTCATCGCTGCCCTATTCAACAAAAACAAGGGCTCTAATTTTATGGTCAACTTGAAAGAGAAGAAGTGGGGGAGGAGGATTTCAAGTGATACATTCTATGAATACATAATCCAATGTTCATTGGATCACATTCAGCCGTGTGCTGTTCGCCTCATTAGAATAGCTGAGTTAATAAACTCAGGACAGTTGTTGAGTATTGTTGGGATAATAGATTGTGCATTATGGTATATTCATATGTGTTGTTCGTGTCCTGTTGACCGTACTGCGATATCTCAGCTAGTAAATTATCCGCTCGATAAGCATGATGTCAACAGTATGATTCCAGCTCACGGTGTTGAACTTTTGAATGAAGTTGATTTTACACTGTACAAGATTCATGATAGTCTTACCAATAATACATTCTATGAATACATTCGTCTGGGGTACTTTTGATTTGAAGTGATACCATCCGAAAAATTTTCATCATTCCCATTTCACTAGATGTGCTGGAAAGGATTTTATAGCATCCACGTAGAAAGGTGCGTGGGTGTTTTATTATGTACATTTGACGTGAAAAAGAACGATGCTGAGATAGACAAAAAGAGAAGATTTACCTGTAGGATTTACAGCAACTCTCTAGCCAGATCTACGTTGGAATTTGGATAATCCGCCCTACATTATTGATCTAAAGATTACTAGGCAATGTTTATCCTTTATGTCATGGTATCGAAGTAGTACCGAAAAAGAAATATACGGAAAGCAAATGGAGGGAACGACGAAGCAAAAAGCGAACCGAGCGCGAACTATCGGCGAAAACCGAAATTGTATCAAAAACAAGGTCGACGGAAACCTGGCGAAGGTCAGCTCAGTAAAAAACGTACGAAACCAAAGAACTACAATACAACCAAAATCAAGCATCAGAGAAGACTGTGGCGAAAATAAATTCAAAATAATTTCCGGAACTTGTTCATTTCTTGGATCGTTCGAGATCACTAGAGGGATGTCGTAGACAGGAGGCGAGTGACTGCTAGCGAAAACAGCACATATCTGTTCTGGATAGCACTCTGATTCGTGGCTTCAATGGAAACTATACTGGCATCAACTGAAGTCAAAATCTAATAGTATCAATGATGGATTTTCTTTGCTATGATTAAACACGACTGAGAACGCGTTCATCGTGTCCAATTTGAGAACATATTAGACAAATTTGCAACCGATCTCGTAGATCGATATGCGTGATGACATTGATATCTGCGAACTGGACTGGGTCGTCTCGCTGCCTAAAGAATTTTACACGTGTTCAACAACTCTGAGGATTTTACTGATCTTGGAGTTCTAATGATACCTCGATTTTACAAGATTTGGAGTTTATGTAGTGGGACAGAGATTCGATTGAGTAGAGTTTTTTCGAAAAGGGACATGCGTAGGCGCAGCGTAAAGGTCGGTAACATCTTATCACACTGTTATATTATCACACGCGTTCGTCAGCAATGCCTAATATGTGTTGACAACCTGTCCCTCAGTATGATGCTCGGCACTGAGCCACAATGATCACCATGGCAGTGTTTCTCACAACTTATGAGAAGGAGAAATATTATCGATGCAGAGAGAGTCATTAGGGTATGCTGCTGGAGCTAGCATGAGGCATGCTCATGCAAACGGTTAACTAGCCACCTCACTTGGCAGCACACATTAGTTTAAATGAAAAAGTGTTGAACAAATTAACGAAGTTGGAAGATTCACAGAATACAAATAGTTGAAGTAAATTATCGGATTTAGGTGTTGCAATATATGGAATAAAACACTCCCGTCCAACTCCATGACTGACAGAAAGATAAGTTTTGGCTGGAACGCTTTGCATGAGCGCAACCCAAGAGTACACAAATATTGGAAAAATCATAAATTCATACTCATAAAGGATGTTTACATTAAATGATCGTACCGAAGAAAATGAACCTCACAGTCATGTTTAAAACAAATGGTTTCTTCTCGATATGCTTATTATGGCGGTTATTGCCGCTCATCAGGTATGCGTACCCGGTACTATTCTGCTCCATCATCCTCATACTAGAGCACTCCACAGCTGGTTTACAGCTGTAATCGCATCTGAATCGAATGGAACGTGCATGGTAGGGGAAGTAACTGACGAATTTACTTTGGAAGAAATACAGGGTGATTCTAAAAATGGACTCCCCATCCATGCAAGCTCCATTCGATTCAAGTGAAATTACAGCTGTAAAGGGTGTCTTCATTTGCGAAAATAGCAACAGATTATGTGAATTATCGTTTGTCTGTACCGTTTGTTCAACAAATCGTAAATAATCGGACTACAAACGCTGTTGGTAAAGCCCATAAAGAACGGAATTTCCACTAGTAAAGGGGACAACACAAAACCTTGAACAGCTTCGATTATTGCACAAATCATATTTGGGGACCAACAGACCACAGCACCCCAAATTGCCCCCAGTATAATTCAGCATGTTCGTTTTTCACTGTTTGAGTGAAGGTCTACACTATGTTCTTTTTCTCATGGATAAGGATGCAAGTTGATAGGAAGGTGACGAGGTATACTGTTAGAGAATATCATCGTTTGCAACTCAGTATATCTCGTTTTCTCTAAGATTTTCATTGTGCAATCTGACCAAATCTGTCACTAACAAGTTACTCACACTTACCTCCAGTTATGTTGCTTGAATATCATTAGATGCCATCCTGTAAGAATAGAATGATTGGAAGTATGCGAACAACTTACGGTTTCTGTATCGCAGTTCCACCAATGGACTTTCCCTGACCTAATGGAATGTGGTTCTCCTTCTTAACCACGAGTCTGAAACATTCTGCACCATATCCATTGATAGGCAAGGGACGAATGAAAGGCATTTTCATGAATTTCCTAATCACAGATAATCGACCAAAATCGGCACATGTTATCTCAGAGACCTTTAATATGAAACCAATTGAACATAACTGTGTTACGGTCATTACATTAGGAATGAATGAACGGTGAGTGTTTTCCACAGACAACTGAAATCGGTTCGAACTTGGTTTGGTTTCAGATATACTCAAGTATATAAGCACTTGGATTTTGCCAACAATCAATGGTTACTCTTTTTCCAGCAAGCTTCAGAGGCATATTCTTTTCTTGGAGTCTGCTGATAACGTTATTGTGATTGTGTGAGCTGACGACATATAAGAGCACAAAGATTGGAGCTAGTTATCATGACGCATGGGACGACTTATTCAATCAGCCGTGACATCGGCCCGCCCTACTGACCGATATGGTTCCATTTCGTAATGAAACTATCAGCAAAATGACCAGGAATCGTCCAAGAGATTGCGATCAGCGGAATGTAAATGACTCTGGAAAGCGTGACCCTATGTCGGCTAGGTTGTACTTATGCAATTAGTCTATCCAATGAAAAAGAGGGCAAATTATATATGGTGGCGCTCCCCAATAATATGCCTGAGCCGACCCACAAAGCACACCACGCTGAAAAAGTACACGGCCATTACCCGGATAAGGCAAACACGCTGGCCAGTGGGACTGGGCCAATAGCAATCAGTAAACCTGTAAATTCCAGTGAAGCAATTCAATAATGAGTGCCAAGATGTAAACGTTTGTTTGTGCCCACGGCTGTGATAACCAACACATTGCCCAAAAGAGTTAGCACCAGGAGAACGTAGTACGTAAAGCTGAGCAAACAATTTGTCCATATAGACCAGTTATTAATTTCCGTAGTTTCTAAAGTCTGTTCAGACATCTTTACATACGTAAAGTTACGTTCACCGATAACCATCCGGATTTATTTCACCAGGACTGCTAGGCCTCGTTTCAAAAGCTCACAAATTGTTGCAACTGTCATTCACGACGATGGCAGCTTCTTTATTGCAGTATCTACAGAAACAACAGATGAATCGTGAATTGTAGTGCTTAGATCGAAACACGCTCCATAAGATGAGTTCAGTCTTGTTACTGCAGTATTACTTGTTTTATAATCAAATTAAACCTCCCACTACTCCAATGAATAATTGTTTAAACAATTCCCTAGAAAAGACAATCCAACCAATCGGTGTGAATCAGTTGCACAGTTCGATTGGTTTTTTTGTGCATTGAGGATAGAGCTTTGTTTAGTAACAACTATAAATATAAAATCCCAATGCGGAGGTTTGTTTCGCAGTCCAGTTCAAGAATCCATTTTATAGGAATTTCTTTTGCATGGCGCACTGTTTGCACACTGAATAGGGGAACCCCGTTTTGTGTTTCCTATTTATTGACACTATACTTAGACGTAATATAGCAATATAGCCATCATTAAACAGCAAAAAATATATAGAGTAATTGAATGTTGATCAGAACGGACACAAAGAAAATGATTTCTCTCTGTGTATATCTCTTTTGTCCTTGGGTGATTTCTCCTCCATATTGATTCATTCTTACAAGAAGCAGTGCCTCGCTTCATTAGTACTTACATTAGCAGTGGGTGTCAGTCCTGAATTAGAAAGGTAATTAAATCAGTGTTCGGCTTTATTTCATCCCAAAGGATGGGTTTTCAGCGCCATGCCCATCGGCACACTATTCATTGTGTATAGCTGTTGACCATACAAAGGAATAGATAAATAAAATAAATACTTGGTCGGTGCAGCAAAAATACGGGAAGGACAGAAAAATAAGCTAGGAAAAATCTTTCTTGAGTTCAGCGAGTACTAGTGATGAGTTGCTGAGATAACTTTCAAGCTGAGGTAAGACAGATAAACCATGGTCGGTTGTCCTTGGATAGACAAGTTGAATTTACACGTGGTGGTTGGAAGAGAAGCACACCCAATTAAGTGCTAGTGCAGCGGATGAGTCGAGTCCAATTAGACTTTATTACAAAGTTTATCCCACGCAGAAGAATGATCCTCTGTAAGGAAACTGGCTACAATGATGTAGGATATCCCACTGGGTCACGATACAGTAGCGGCTTCTCAGAGACACCGAACTCATTCAAATATAACTGTGAGCCTAGAACTAAGGTGTGCTTTGCTTATAAACAGACGTCTGTAGTTAGATCTGCTATCGGAATGATGACCGCACCTCAGGAGCTCATCCGATCCCGGCACCAGGTCTTCCACTAGCTATCGGTAGTTTCCACATCGTAACTCGAATCATCATTCCTTATATTCACATGAAGTGGCATACAGTCAAGTGGTGTTTTACCTCAGAATACTTATCCACATCCGGGTCAGATAGGTTTTCTTTAGAAGTCCTACGTGACATATGGGTGATTCCCATCAGTCAGCCAAACAGGGACGCGACAAGTCAATCAAAAGTTGGCCAGTCTCTTTGTAATTTCTTCAGTCGACTGGCTGTTTGAAGCCTGCTTGCTTAATACAATCTGAAACAGTCTTGCATTGTCTCATCGCCATTCGTTTTCATAGGTGTTCTGGAAACTGGGCACACTTTGGTTGGTCGGTTCCGGTCGTTGGCTCGTTTGACTTCCCATCTCCTGTCAACTCCACGAAACAACTAATACAGTTATCAAAACAGCAAACACTGTCGTTTTTCTCATTTCAATTGCCAAACGGGAATCATATCCACTAGGAACCCTCGGGAATCTAAAATATTACTTTGACAGACAAACACAAAATGACAAAACCTTTGATCATTAAAAATTGTAAGAAAAATAAACAAATTTTTGCAGCACATAAGAATGAACGGAATATTTAATTGAGGATTTTCGAAACGTATAATGGTCTCATCTGCAGAGTATACAACATTAGTCACCGAATCATTTTGAGTGCTTTATTCTTGAGCATGCCATCCTTAATTGTTTGCATTCTTTTAAAAATCTCCCGATAAACCCTTACAGTTTGCATAAAAGTTGAACAGGTCCACTATGGATGCTATCGCTTCGCACGTCCACTATATAACCAAATCATAATATGGACCAGCGAAGTCTGTGAGTGACTACACATCCGCTTTCCATTCTATTCTGCATTCTCTCTTCCTCGACAAAATGGATCCCTTCGGCTGTCCTGCAAATTTACTGGCGTAGTTGTCGGATTATTTTACCAACAAAACTCAGTGTACAGGACTAGGTTTAAGACATTCAAACCCTTAGTGAACAATCCAGGGGTGCCTTCGTCTACATTATTGGACTTAAATCCAATTCTCCAGCACATTTATTTAAAAATGTAATCACTTACTAACTTATGCGGACCCAAATTTGATCGCAAACAAAAAAACGTCGTCGACTCACTGCAGTCGAATATGTTCATTGATCACTTGGATATTATTTTTCGACAAGTGCTTGGGACTACCAATAAATTTCGGACTGAGATGGTACCGGAGAATCACTTGAATATAGTTTCATCATCATCTGATAGTCACCCCCCATCTATCCAAAGGGTCTTCGTTGCCGTATATGTATTCACGTAGTGCATAATGTACCACCAGTCACCTACATATTGCTAAAGTTTGCTCCTTGATCCTTCTCGGAATCTTCTTCATCACATTTTGGAAGATCAATCGAATCCATCGTTATAAGACTAGTTCAATGATGATTCTTTATAGATCTAATTTATCGAGCGTTTTTCTCAGTACTTAGATTCGAATGAAGGAATAGATCTTTCGTCGCCCTGAAACTAAATGTTTCTAATCTAAACCTTAGTTTCACCCTTGAATAGTAGTAACATTCGAGGAACTTCTAATGAACATCTGTCGGATCAAACTAGTATCAACAAATTATCGCTTGCGTATATCAAGAAAACCGTAGTGAATTGCTGGACAAGTTTGACAGCTAGCTAAAACAACCTCCAACTCACTAACTAAGCTAGCAGAGTTAACACCATAAATACTTCGACGGCTTTCGTAAACCAGCATATCAAATGAGCAGTCCAACAAATGAACAAACAAGAAAAAACTCCGCGCAACATTTTTTGTGTGGTAAATTTGAAGTGTACTTCATGATTACAAGCTGCTTTTGAGGATGTTTATTCGACGTGATAAGATAAGATGAACTTGGTTCCAACACTATTTGTTTGCATTTCGAGGTATTCATTTATCCTCCGAATTGTGACATTCAAAACATTACCACATGTGAAACATCGGGTCCTCTTGATCCAATTCATCAAAACAGGTGGAAGACGGAAGTTGCGAGATCCAAAGATTACTTTCATTCTTCTCAGTCGTGCACTCAAAACATGCAGACTGATGTTCGAATGGGGCAAAGAGCAGCACAGCGGGAACAAAAGTATCGAACACATTCGGAGATGGTCGGGTAAATTTGATTGGCTACCGGCACTGCAACGGGATAACAGTTTCTCTGCATACGGTGAAGGCCTAGGTCTACTTGTCAATACAGCCTCACAACGGTAAAAGGAACGTTTTGTTTCAATTTCGTGCATTCAGTCGGATAGCTCAACCCCGGGTCAAACTGATGACCACAATTTACAACAAGCTTCGCCATCGACGACAATGATTCCACCTTCATTGAAACATGCAAATGTGGTACGATCTAACTCCGAAGAGATTGGATCCTATCAAACTAATACCAGACAAACTGAACCACATCGATAAAGCTATTCCGAAGTATGTTTTTTACAACGTGTACGCCTGCAATTTCATACAATCAAACAATCATGTATCATTTGAATCTCCGTCGCAGGGAATCTGTTGTTTTTGGAAACAATATTTTGTTACTTGATCCCGTCTGTGTGTATACGAATAGCGATAACCATTCATTTCACAAACCATGCTTCAATTGTGAACGAAACGCACGAGGATCGGGAAAATATCGGTCTCGTTCGGTTGAATATACATACATCTATCGATATTTCCCAATCACGGTAATAGGAGAGAAAATGAAGCAAAGCTGAATGAAATTTATTGTTTAGTGCGTTTTCATAATAACAGAAACGTATCACGGAAATTGTGCCACCATCGGGAGACTAGCCAGCGAAGCAATTCCACACATGTGACCTCGATTCCTAGCCATTCGAATGTAACCGCGCTCACCCCACGACAATCCCCAACTATTTTTCACAATCCAATAGTCAGTACCACCCTGTGTTCCGTAACCGACAGCCAAGACTGCATGATTCAAACCAAGCGGTGAACAAGTTTGGCTCTGATAAATACCACTCCTGTTTGAACAGAAAACAACAATATAAATACGAATATGATAACGCAAGTTTGGAAATGGAATGGTGCTTAGAATGATTGAAAGTAAAGAGGAATGAAAGAGAGCAAACACTTACTCTATGTGAATCGGAAACAAAAGCCTGTTTAACTGAGAACTACTTACCACGATTTGCGTGCAATTGGACGTATTCGGAATGGGCAATTCAAATCATACTTCTCTTAAACCGACTTGTGACCGGGATGCGGGCGAGCATAAATCCAAAGTACTACATGTGTTATTTGACAATATATCACACACATGATCAGCAGTTACACTTACAAATACAACTGTGCTAGTGTGCCTGTGCCAATTAAAAAACAAATGTTGTCTATTGAGCCCATTTGATACCCGTGAGATGCACGTTCAAACTGTTTGGTCAAAACTGAATGAAACCAAATTTGATGAATATTATACTCCATAGGGAGAGAACACAAGTGTCATTCGGCCTGAACAATCCAGTGAGCAATTGTGTGGAATCCAGCAATCCAGCAATCATACATACGAGTAAGCTAGTACATCACACGTGTATCGATGACGAGGAAAGTCGAACGTTAAACTGATAATTGAAAATATATAACCTATCTGTCTCACATATTCTCTCCCGCCCTCTCTCCCTCTCTCTCGACTTAGGTTATCATTCGTCTCGTTCGAATGACATAAGAGCACGTACCTGTACATCATGAAGTCAGATTCAACATCCACAGCGACCGCAGCAGGTCCTTCGGCGCCGACTAAATTTTTCAATCCTATCTCACTGCCAGAATGCACAGTATAGTAGCCAGTCATATTGGCAACTACAAACTGCCTATTGTATCGACACTGACCTTCCTGAAATGGGATCAAATAATAAGTGAATTGAGTAAAATAGTTGATAATAACAGAAGCGATTTTTTGTGAGATCACATCGGTGCAACATGGTAAGAGGTAAAACGACGGGAGGTGTAAGCAAAATGACTCGAAGGAAGAGCGCACAGACAAGCAGTACTCACCACAGCCCTGTACGGATAAGAGGATTCGGTTTCCAATCCAAATTGTTTAAAATATTCATATGCATTTTCCATCAATCCACCCCCGCAACCATTATTTCCCCAAGGACGGGTACAATCGACCAGTTGTTGCTCAGAGAATGAAATACTAGTTCTTTCGTTTTTCATATACTGTCCCTCCATAGTACCGGTTGTTGAGAAAGCCCAACAGGAAACAGTTTCCCTTTTGAAATTAAATCAAATCATCATCGTATTATTGGGTGTTCACAATCTATACTCACCTGATCTTTCACCCCCGTCACATAACCAGATTCACGCCAGTCAATTTTGTCGGGTAAGGCACGGTTTTTCGCCTCATACGGGATACCGTGTGGGAGTATATCGGACGCGCGTGGCATTTCGGCTAGATATTTGGCCTTGAATTCCTCGAATGTCATATCAGTGAATTGGTTTAATCCCAATGTGTAGGTGACGAGGCCGAGATCGTGAAGTAGGTTGTGTTCTTGAATATGTTTCACATTCTTTTCCCAAATATTCCGTCTGTGCTCATCGTCAGCCCCATTGTATTCTTTATTGTACATTCGCTTCCATTGATGCCACAAGTCATCATTCGAGCCAAGCACTCCGACCGTGAGCACGGCTAATATGAACAATCACATTGTTTGCTTAGTAGCGGTCGTTCTGTCTAATCAAGCTCAGATGCTTCCATATATATATATATATATATATATATATATATATATATATATATATCATATCATATATCATATACCATATATCATATATACATGTATGCATTCAATAAAACCCACAGTTAAGATGGACAAATTCCAAACGACGATCTGAGCTATTTTGGGCGTTGCTTTGAGAGCTGTATGATTAGAGATGGTAACACAGTGATTGTGACGCTGTTTGATGTTCAAAGTTCAACAAACGCAGTAAGTTAGTCCATTCTTTGATGTATAGACTCTGCGTGAACGTGATTGCGCAGATCCACTGATACCATGATTGAAGTACAAAAATTCTCGATCAAAACGTCAACATCTAAGAATTCCACGCCCATCTCAAAATGTTTTGGGAAAAGTATGTCCATTCAAACAGGGCATGTTGAGTCTAATTTTCACACTGTTCTCGTGTTCATACTATCGATTCATTGCATTATGGTATTTCCAACACCTCCACTGGCTAGAGATACAGAGACCATCAGAAACTCACTGTCCACTCGGCGAATATTCCAGGTGTGTTGCCTGGTTTTCTCCTATCCTAATTTTTCATCTATTTTTCTGAGAATGTAAATGTTACGAAAATCTCTTTAATCAGGCGTGTGTCTCAAATTTTCACAATTTCACAGCATGTATTTTGGCACGGAATGTCGTAAGGCGATTTCTCTACAGAGGGCACTAGATATGATGGGGAGGTATCTTATCGTGTATTGTCGTCCTTGTTCAATATGGACATTGTCTGTCGGCCTATTTAACCAGATGTCCCGAATAAGCTTATCTTTATGAACATTTCGTTTAGGCGAGACGTGGTATCTCTAACGTTGAGCCGTCGACTATCGTATGTGGTATCATATACATTCAAATCTACGAATTTCCGCACCTTCGTTCAACACCAGTCCGCACTTGCGACTGAGACTCACAGACAGACTACCAATTCATTCAACCTCATTTTGTGTACACTCTTATTATTATTCCTGTGGAACACATTAGGTGGGAAGAACGACTAGGCTTCTACACGAGTCAGGTTGAGAAGATAGCCCCAGCTGGCCATCGAAAAAATCCACAAAACCGACACCAGGGCGGTCTCGGCTTATGCGATCGATTCGGAGAATCAACTTACAAAGCCACTACAAGGCAGTCAGATAACGAATCCTATCCACAACCGAGAAGATTGCGATCAGTTTAAAGCGAGCCACCTTTAGTTTACAAAGCAGTTTGCCAATCCGCTGCTTCTTCTCAGACTGACGGTCGACATGACATCCATTTATCTAACAAGGGTCGAGCGTACGCTGAAGCAGTCAGGTCAGTACCTCTGAATGGTTCGCAAACATGGCTACTGAGGGTGAAAAACACACGAAGATTGTTAGCATTCGAAAACCGATTTTTTTAGTATCCATGTGCAAATCCGATGAACTCGCCGTATTAACCACGCTTCTGTTGAGCGCAGAGTATTCGGCACACATACCAAATCATTAGATGAAAGACTTAAGCTCATCAGGCTAAGGTGGTTGGTATATGTGCTGCGCAAGTCCCCGTGTAGAATAACTCCGCTAGCAATGTTCTCTGAGGTAATGATGGTTGGAAGATGAAAAATAGTGACCAGTCCAAGACATGGGAGAAAAGTAGGTAAAGCCCAGCGAGTAAACTGGGCCGTGTAGGGGCGTGGTTGACTTCCTGGGAGTGGTCCAAAAGATTCCCCACTCAGTAGTGAGATAAACTGGGAAATATGACTAGGTGCCGCGATAATTGGCGCTGTTGTGTGCGAAAACTTTATTTATGAACTAGATAAAATTTACAGCTCTTTCCGTTCTCATCTGCATTAAGTATTTTTGATTGAGGTTGCCGCTGAGATAAAGCAACCAAGGCCACTCCATACGGTGCACGGTTGATGATCTTATGAACTGAACTGAACCTACTCCATTGTACTCATCCGTGGGTCTGGAATTCGAAGTTATCAGCATCATTGTGTGATAGGACATTTAGACACGACCATCCGTGAACCGGTGATGGAAATTCCAAATAAACTAGATTCATTGAAGTCTCGCACATTCAGGAGACCAAAGTGAAAATACCAGAGTAAACCACAAACAGATTAGCAGTAAACACAACGCTACAAGATGAAACACCGCTGATCAAATTATTGCACAAGTTGCTATTCCACTTGGCTCTCTATCCAAAGCGCTAATAAATTGACTAACATGATTCGTTTATTCATAATGAACGAGTTCATGTTGGTTTATATACTACTAACTGTCTACTCGACTTGCGTAGGTATCTTTACCCAATTTTTCTGTGCTGATTATTGGCACATTTGAATATATGCATCACAAATTCCGGTGTTGTTTACCGTTTTATCAAGTGGAAAATGCAAAGTTATTTTCTCGAGGAAAATCGGACAAAGACAAAATCTAACTAATGGTACCGTGCCCAGTAATGCTACTAGACATTCGAATCTCGAGGGGTGTACCCACTGCCGAAGAATATCCGGTAAATAATTCCTGCAGCTTATCGATACCAGTTAATATTTTCAGTGCTACTTGGCACTGAAAATCACAATGAGTCACGAACTCATCATGAAAAATATAAACGGCGGTATAGGTTGCGTGAATTCAGTTCAAATTGTAGTGTCGGCTGCATGACTCGGACATTAGCTACAGTCACCTTGCGGTCCAAGGTATTCCATTCTCAGAACTGTGGAGCGCAAATCTGTAGAAATCGGTCCATGAATCCGAATTTTATATTCCAGTACAATAAAACAGCCATTCAGAACTTAAATGTAACCAAAACGTGGTCAGTGTTTCGTTGCACCAGTGACCCGGTGTAGTCAGTTGGCAGGCCTCGTCTCAATCAGGTTGATAAAAATTAAGAAATTATGCCTCGTCGAATATATGAACATGTCAAACGTGGTTTCAACAACCAAACTCGTGTAGGCATTCGAAGAGAATGGAACATCATCTGAGAAAATATGATTCAGCCTCTGATGAGAAGCATGTCCAGAATGTGTGTTGAAATCGTTGAATAATTTTCAGATTTGAATGGACCTAATGTTTAGCGATCAGAAATCTTGGTCAATATTGATTCCCACGTTTCTGCTAGCAATTTTACTCCGAATTGTTTCCCAACGGAACACAAACTTGTCAGCTGTGACTCAGTAATAAAATAAAAAATAGGACCCCTAATCATCTCTTCTCTCGGAAGACTTGGAGAAAATATAAGTGCATCCACGAGTCCGAATCAGATGCGAGTAGAACACGTTTGTCTCGTGGTGTATCACTTGGGTTATATTCGAGATGTAACACAATCGTGACTTGTTGCTTGGTTGTGCTTTGCGTCTACTTCGCTATATCTCCCTATTGAGAGTCGGGGATGTCAAGATACAATGTGAACGCCAATTTCGTGACCATGAATAGGAAGTTCACTCGTCCGAATGCAAAATCTCTTTTCTGTCGCGAAGAATGATTGCGATTTTCCGTCAGGGCAAGGCATTATATGAAAGCCTACACTGCATTCATAAATACGTAAAGAGGAAAATTTGAGTATTTATTGGAAATTTAGAATATTCTTTGACTATGTAACTGATGAGTGTTCTTGATCGTTTCGCGAATTCGTATGGGTTACTTATCCAGAGGGAACACAAGACAAGTGAGAAATATCGATTTGAAAATCATCACAGTAAGCTCCACAACGACAGGTTCACCTGAACAACTAATGGCAAAGTTGTTCCTCATAATTGATGTAAAGATTTCAGTAGCTCGCATCGACTGTGTGACTACGAGAACAATATGAAAATTAGACTCAACATGCCCTGTTTGAATGGACATACTTTTCCCAAAACATTTTGAGATGGGCGTGGAATTCTTAGATGTTGACGTTTTGATCGAGTATTTTTGGTACTTCAATCAGTGGATCTGCGCAATCACGTTCACGCAGAGTCTATACATCAAAGAATGGACTAACTTACTGCGTTTGTTGAACTTTGAACATCAAACAGCGTCACAATCACTGTGTTACCATCTCTAATCATACAGCTCTCAAAGCAACGCCCAAAATAGCTCAGATCGTCGTTTGGAATTTGTCCATCTTAACTGTGGGTTTTATTGAATGCATACATGTATATATGATATATGGTATATGATATATGATATATATATATATATATATATATATATATATATATATATATATATATATATATATATATATATATATGGAAGCATCTGAGCTTGATTAGACAGAACGACCGCTACTAAGCAAACAATGTTATTGTTCATATTAGCCGTGCTCACGGTCGGAGTGCTTGGCTCGAATGATGACTTGTGGCATCAATGGAAGCGAATGTACAATAAAGAATACAATGGGGCTGACGATGAGCACAGACGAAATATTTGGGAAAAGAATGTGAAACATATTCAAGAACACAACCTACTTCACGATCTCGGCCTCGTCACCTACACATTGGGATTAAACCAATTCACTGATATGACATTCGAGGAATTCAAGGCCAAATATCTAGCCGAAATGCCACGCGCGTCCGATATACTCCCACACGGTATCCCGTATGAGGCGAAAAACCGTGCCTTACCCGACAAAATTGACTGGCGTGAATCTGGTTATGTGACGGGGGTGAAAGATCAGGTGAGTATAGATTGTGAACACCCAATAATACGATGATGATTTGATTTAATTTCAAAAGGGAAACTGTTTCCTGTTGGGCTTTCTCAACAACCGGTACTATGGAGGGACAGTATATGAAAAACGAAAGAACTAGTATTTCATTCTCTGAGCAACAACTGGTCGATTGTACCCGTCCTTGGGGAAATAATGGTTGCGGGGGTGGATTGATGGAAAATGCATATGAATATTTTAAACAATTTGGATTGGAAACCGAATCCTCTTATCCGTACAGGGCTGTGGTGAGTACTGCTTGTCTGTGCGCTCTTCCTTCGAGTCATTTTGCTTACACCTCCCGTCGTTTTACCTCTTACCATGTTGCACCGATGTGATCTCACAAAAAATCGCTTCTGTTATTATCAACTATTTTACTCAATTCACTTATTATTTGATCCCATTTCAGGAAGGTCAGTGTCGATACAATAGGCAGTTTGTAGTTGCCAATATGACTGGCTACTATACTGTGCATTCTGGCAGTGAGATAGGATTGAAAAATTTAGTCGGCGCCGAAGGACCTGCTGCGGTCGCTGTGGATGTTGAATCTGACTTCATGATGTACAGGTACGTGCTCTTATGTCATTCGAACGAGACGAATGATAACCTAAGTCGAGAGAGAGGGAGAGAGGGCGGGAGAGAATATGTGAGACAGATAGGTTATATATTTTCAATTATCAGTTTAACGTTCGACTTTCCTCGTCATCGATACACGTGTGATGTACTAGCTTACTCGTATGTATGATTGCTGGATTGCTGGATTCCACACAATTGCTCACTGGATTGTTCAGGCCGAATGACACTTGTGTTCTCTCCCTATGGAGTATAATATTCATCAAATTTGGTTTCATTCAGTTTTGACCAAACAGTTTGAACGTGCATCTCACGGGTATCAAATGGGCTCAATAGACAACATTTGTTTTTTAATTGGCACAGGCACACTAGCACAGTTGTATTTGTAAGTGTAACTGCTGATCATGTGTGTGATATATTGTCAAATAACACATGTAGTACTTTGGATTTATGCTCGCCCGCATCCCGGTCACAAGTCGGTTTAAGAGAAGTATGATTTGAATTGCCCATTCCGAATACGTCCAATTGCACGCAAATCGTGGTAAGTAGTTCTCAGTTAAACAGGCTTTTGTTTCCGATTCACATAGAGTAAGTGTTTGCTCTCTTTCATTCCTCTTTACTTTCAATCATTCTAAGCACCATTCCATTTCCAAACTTGCGTTATCATATTCGTATTTATATTGTTGTTTTCTGTTCAAACAGGAGTGGTATTTATCAGAGCCAAACTTGTTCACCGCTTGGTTTGAATCATGCAGTCTTGGCTGTCGGTTACGGAACACAGGGTGGTACTGACTATTGGATTGTGAAAAATAGTTGGGGATTGTCGTGGGGTGAGCGCGGTTACATTCGAATGGCTAGGAATCGAGGTCACATGTGTGGAATTGCTTCGCTGGCTAGTCTCCCGATGGTGGCACAATTTCCGTGATACGTTTCTGTTATTATGAAAACGCACTAAACAATAAATTTCATTCAGCTTTGCTTCATTTTCTCTCCTATTACCGTGATTGGGAAATATCGATAGATGTATGTATATTCAACCGAACGAGACCGATATTTTCCCGATCCTCGTGCGTTTCGTTCACAATTGAAGCATGGTTTGTGAAATGAATGGTTATCGCTATTCGTATACACACAGACGGGATCAAGTAACAAAATATTGTTTCCAAAAACAACAGATTCCCTGCGACGGAGATTCAAATGATACATGATTGTTTGATTGTATGAAATTGCAGGCGTACACGTTGTAAAAAACATACTTCGGAATAGCTTTATCGATGTGGTTCAGTTTGTCTGGTATTAGTTTGATAGGATCCAATCTCTTCGGAGTTAGATCGTACCACATTTGCATGTTTCAATGAAGGTGGAATCATTGTCGTCGATGGCGAAGCTTGTTGTAAATTGTGGTCATCAGTTTGACCCGGGGTTGAGCTATCCGACTGAATGCACGAAATTGAAACAAAACGTTCCTTTTACCGTTGTGAGGCTGTATTGACAAGTAGACCTAGGCCTTCACCGTATGCAGAGAAACTGTTATCCCGTTGCAGTGCCGGTAGCCAATCAAATTTACCCGACCATCTCCGAATGTGTTCGATACTTTTGTTCCCGCTGTGCTGCTCTTTGCCCCATTCGAACATCAGTCTGCATGTTTTGAGTGCACGACTGAGAAGAATGAAAGTAATCTTTGGATCTCGCAACTTCCGTCTTCCACCTGTTTTGATGAATTGGATCAAGAGGACCCGATGTTTCACATGTGGTAATGTTTTGAATGTCACAATTCGGAGGATAAATGAATACCTCGAAATGCAAACAAATAGTGTTGGAACCAAGTTCATCTTATCTTATCACGTCGAATAAACATCCTCAAAAGCAGCTTGTAATCATGAAGTACACTTCAAATTTACCACACAAAAAATGTTGCGCGGAGTTTTTTCTTGTTTGTTCATTTGTTGGACTGCTCATTTGATATGCTGGTTTACGAAAGCCGTCGAAGTATTTATGGTGTTAACTCTGTTAGCTTAGTTAGTGAGTTGGAGGTTGTTTTAGCTAGCTGTCAAACTTGTCCAGCAATTCACTACGGTTTTCTTGATATACGCAAGCGATAATTTGTTGATACTAGTTTGATCCGACAGATGTTCATTAGAAGTTCCTCGAATGTTACTACTATTCAAGGGTGAAACTAAGGTTTAGATTAGAAACATTTAGTTTCAGGGCGACGAAAGATCTATTCCTTCATTCGAATCTAAGTACTGAGAAAAACGCTCGATAAATTAGATCTATAAAGAATCATCATTGAACTAGTCTTATAACGATGGATTCGATTGATCTTCCAAAATGTGATGAAGAAGATTCCGAGAAGGATCAAGGAGCAAACTTTAGCAATATGTAGGTGACTGGTGGTACATTATGCACTACGTGAATACATATACGGCAACGAAGACCCTTTGGATAGATGGGGGGTGACTATCAGATGATGATGAAACTATATTCAAGTGATTCTCCGGTACCATCTCAGTCCGAAATTTATTGGTAGTCCCAAGCACTTGTCGAAAAATAATATCCAAGTGATCAATGAACATATTCGACTGCAGTGAGTCGACGACGTTTTTTTGTTTGCGATCAAATTTGGGTCCGCATAAGTTAGTAATTGATTACAATGCATTCCAAAATTTTCAGTCATTTTTACCCTTCGTTCTTATTCATGCTTGTGGCTACGCCTATTATCACTCAGTGACATCAGTTGATGTAAAATGTGCTACTGTTGATCGTCCGATCACGAAAAGGTAAACTTAGACTTTGATCAGGAAAATATGGTTTGAGTTCCTTTCACAACGGTGCGTAGAATACTTACCTCAGTCATTATGGGTTTTATCTAAGCTCAACTACCCTGGACATCCCAAATGTTCCTTTCAAGCATATTATACAAACTGGAACTAGTGGAAGAACCCATTTTTATTAATTATTCAATATTCAAATTCCGGAGTATAACATAACGGGCTTATCGCTGCAAAAATTCACTGCGTAATCTTCTTTAAAACTTTCATGAATAGATTAGGTGTAGGTAATTAAGTCAGTGTGACAAAGGCACACATTCACTCATATTTCTTATCGAATATCTTCATAATTTTTATCACGGCGAAGTAGCACAAAATTTGCACTCGTGGGGCGTAGAAGAAGAATGAGCTGGAACAATGTGTCCATTAAAGGCACTTGGTTTGATATGATTTTCGTAGTAAGACGACAGTCTTCCAGATCATTTTGCAACATTCAGAACGATGATTTACCGATGAGTCAAGGAAAAGCACTTACGAGAAAACTCAAAATAACTATGATGAGCCAATACAACCAAGGTTTTGAAACTGAGACCCATAAATGTCCCGTATACCAATGCTGTGTCAAGTTTAAACAATTGATGTGCCCTCTTTATCAACAAGAACTGAAAACACAGGATGCATTTATTGAGAATGTATTGGTGAAATGTCTAACAGTTGAAGAAGCATGCATATTAGTTTCGGTCACCATCCGTTGAATGGTTTCAAATTCACCCCGCTCTGGCTGGCCAATAGCTTTACACCATTCTGATCACAGAATACTACCAAAACCCCTTATCCTCTAAACAATGTGCTTTTGCTGCTAGATAAAAAATAAGCGATTTGGCGAATTTCGACAAATCGTCCAAATTTTCCGTCCTGGGAATCATAATGCTGAAAAACTTGCAACGCAGTTCGGACACTGATGACTCGCTAATAAAAGTGGAAGAATAGAACGTACACCGTCCTGACCAAACTTTTCAACATCGGAACCGCGAAGGCCGCTCAGTTACGGACATCAAACTTTCCTGTTTGCAAGTTTTTAAGAACATTACTTGCTTACAGTGACAATCAGGTCAGTGGGGTCCAACCAACGAATAGCCAGTTGGTATCAATCGATCAGCATAACGAATGCATTTATTTTACCAGCTTGCTCATCAGATGGTACTTCTACATTCGCTGACACACTCACAATAGAAATAAGGGAGCATAGTGAAACTTTACTTGTCATCGTTGCGGGTAATTTTATTCTCTAGGATGTCAGTTATCAAAATGCTTGGTGCTACACATTTGTTTACTTCTCTTCACAGTTATATTTCCTCGTTTTCAACGAAATCAAAGTTGACTCTGACTAGAAAAACCCTTGTTCACCAGCTCAGATTATTATATCATTAAGGATTGTCGAAAGAATTATTTAAAGTCACGTCACTTTATGCACATTCGTTCTTCTGACCGCATGATCCTCCGTAGGTAATGTAACCTAAAAAACCTAACATCATTGCAGGAAGTGGTTGGCTGTACTGGCATTGATCAGTTCTACAAACCTGATATCTCATTCTACTACGGTCATCTGACAAGTCGCTTGAAACTTCCTGATGATAAATGTTGCCCATTGCCAAGCTTTTTACAATCGGATTAGCGTTATTCCAATTTGACGTTTGTCGTAGTTATTTTCGTTGGTCTATCGAATACACTGGTGTGCCAATGAGCTCGTCTTGTTTTCATCAAAAAAAAAACACCACGAATTGATGAGAAACACAAAAGTGGTAGCCGAGTGCATTTTCGATGATCTTCATCCCAATCAGAGTCAGGCCACAAATTAATTTTCCCCTGTTCGAATTCCAAACAAACTGGTAAGGCACCCGTTTGTGTGCACTTCTACCTGCTGCATAACTTTGCATTATTCAGCAGTACTTTGCAGACAAATTAACTGGATTAATAGCCGGCATCTCAGTTGAACCCATGGAAGGTGCATCGATGAGGAGTCTGTTTTTGGAATCAAATGGTAGTTTTTCCAGTGTTATTAGGTCTATTAACGCGGCTAATTTCCAGAAAAGAAACACATGATCTCAAGTATAGATCTTTAAAATCGGTAGGACGGCTTTGTATCTGGATGTTAAGACAAAATGTCCCCGGTAGCACACGACCGGTTTCGTGATCTGTTGTGTAAACCGGCGAAATACTTTTGGCAGGAACACTACGCCATCATAAAAATGGACTCTTCTTCTGTGTACACTCCTCCCAATTCAAAGCGGATGTTAGGTCCTAACTAACTGTGGAGTGTTTAAGTTCAGGGATGATTTGGCGGGAGGGCACCGATTATGCCCACTTGATGAGCGGAAACAACCGAGAAATTTGACATGTGCCTCCGGGGAAACTGTGTCCCGTCATCCAAATCTAACTTCACACATCTCACTTCAAAATGGACACTCTAAGGTCTCTTCTAAGTTCACAACGGAACGATGGAACGAATTATTTTATTCATGTTCAAAAGGATTTTACGATGAAGTAATCGATTCACATTGGTTGCTTTTATGAAAGTCAATGATTGCTAGTTACGTGAATTTGAAACCATTCAACGGATGGTGACCGAAACTAATATGCATGCTTCTTCAACTGTTAGACATTTCACCAATACATTCTCAATAAATGCATCCTGTGTTTTCAGTTCTTGTTGATAAAGAGGGCACATCAATTGTTTAAACTTGACACAGCATTGGTATACGGGACATTTATGGGTCTCAGTTTCAAAACCTTGGTTGTATTGGCTCATCATAGTTATTTTGAGTTTTCTCGTAAGTGCTTTTCCTTGACTCATCGGTAAATCATCGTTCTGAATGTTGCAAAATGATCTGGAAGACTGTCGTCTTACTACGAAAATCATATCAAACCAAGTGCCTTTAATGGACACATTGTTCCAGCTTATTCTTCGTCTACGCCTCAAGCATACAAATTTCGAGCTATTTTGCCGTGATAAAAATTATGAAGGTATTCGATTGGAAGCCTGAATGTATTTGTGCCCATTCCACACTAAATTAGTCACCTACACCGAAACAATTCATGAAAGTTATGAAGAAGACCACACAGTGGTTTTTTCATCACAGCGATACACCCGACATGTTGGACTCCGGAATTTGGATATTGAATAGTTATGAAAGATAGGTTCTTCCATTGGTTTCATTTGGTATAATATGCTTGGAAGGAACATTTGGGATATCCAAGACAGTCGAGCTTAGATAGAACCCGGTAGATCTACTATTCCAGTTCTCCATACATCCCGTTGTAAATGATTCGTATATTCACGAAATGATGCGGAAGATACCTGATCCGTGCCTAACAGGTTGGCTCACCGGTTTGGATCAAGTTCTGTTAGCATTTGTGGCTACGTTGTAATTTCCTTATATTGCAGTCCTAAGCCAACATGCCATACAAAATGTACGATGTGTAATTATAACCAATATACTTTTCTGGACAGAAGCGAACACGTGTGAATACCACCGTCCAAATTTCGTATTTCAAGAAGTGAGAAATTGTCAGCTTTTTGTTGCAGCTTACTCGTGTCTGTGACCAAAATTTATGGATCAAGTGGGAGATAAAACACTCCAGGGCAAATTGTGATATAAACCCTAGGTAATCAGTCACACTTTGAATTGATTGACGTTGACATTTGTGCATGTTATGTGTCCTGTCAACACATCAATTGCGCAATATCATACGCGAATTGTACCTGGTGGCTTATTTCCGTCAGAATTGGAGGAAGATAAATGCAAGTGGCTAATTTGGAGAATGCGAGTAGCATTTAGCTCAAGAACTGACATGCAGCTAATTAGCCACGCAATAAAATGAGTTTTTTCACCGTGTCAAACATTTGACAAATTCTGTGTAAAAGACAAATGTGATTACGCATCTAACAGTAATCGTCCCTGTGGATATTCACAATAAAAAATGGAACGACGTGAATGTACTCAGGATTCCGACTTCAACTCCAACCAAACTGGGTGTATTATTTTGAGCAATATATTCATTCATTTTTATGGAGAATTCATTTGGCTGAGTTATGTCTATTTGTTGTACTGTTCAGCTTAAGTGGAAACCAAGATGAGATGATAGTTTACAAACTGGTACAATAGTTTTCACACTCTTCTGGCGCATCATGAGAAGGATAAACTTCAATTTCTGAGTAAGCCAAAATCTGAGGCGTGCAGATTTTCCCCAACGCCTTCTCCCTCTATGTCTTGGACTTACTTCCCAGAGCCAGTAATCACCTGAAAAAATCTTCTTGCTAGTGACGCACTGCACATAGCAGTAACCAGTTGATAATATATGATAATTAATTTGAAGGTGAACTCAAGCAACGCTTTGCGTGCCAAAGTGGATGAATGTTCACCCGGTCAGTCGTACTTCAAACACGTACATTGACGTATTACTTTTTGTCTCCTCCCGGAACTCAGGAATCCGGTTCAACCATAACTCCCGATATTTTGTTGCGTTTATGCTTTCAAATTCATACTGTTGCATGCTAGTCCTTGTGCTTAAAACCGATTTTGTCCCTGCTGATGCTAAACCAGAGCTGTTACAAAAAACGTCCGTAGAGTTATGATGTTCAATTTGTCACCTGACATTTTTCATCCGAATTACGTCTTTCGAATTCTCTCAGATTGCTGCATCGGGTTGTACGCTCATTAGTCGCACTTTACCCAACCTGTCTCTACAAAATAGTGTCGTTCTTTTATAGGATTGTCGTACACAAGTACTTTATGTACATCTTGGACCTTCTAGTTGAGAACTTAATTTTCTGATATCGATTTTGTACACAATGATGGAAATAGTGCTTGCGATACAACGCTCGGTGGATCTGAAAGGCCAACCACTCATGCGTGACTAACAGTATGGCCTTCGTCGCCACAGATTTCACCAATTCCAATGCGATCCATGCTTATGCTGATGACATCTGAGAATATATGTATTACGTATGAATCTATTGTCAACAGTTGAGTGAGAAAGCGTGATTTATAATCAGTCCATCGAGTTAATGCACTGGTCAACTCAGGCCTACGAAGCACAATGCCGGGAAGAGTAGTGAATCTGTTTTCGGACTCTGGGGACAACTTCCTCATTGCATCCAGTCTTGACCTGGTCCGTAGCAGGCAACTGTTCCGAAGGAACCCAGAACATGTCCATAATTTAGCTGCTGTGAAGACATCACAGATGAATAAATATTTTCTGAACTATATGTTATCCAGCGTATCATAGCACTCAATACAGCGAATCACCGTGAGTTTGCTTGGTCATCAATGCAGAAAACCTCATCAAATGACTGGATGCATTTTGTCACTCCAAAAAGAATGACCTTGGGTTATTACAGTTTATATTTACTAGTGTCTCGAGTTGTGTAACTTTGAGCTTACTGGATTGAAAGTGTCCGCAAATTTTTTTGACATGAGTCACCCTACTAACAGCCCTCTAGATTTGATGAACCCGAATTCTTTATACCAGATGCACATACCTAAATTGATGATGCCTACTGAGATTCACAAGAAGTGGATTTCTCACGGATATCGAATTGGTAGGCATTTCTGGTCTCCAGTCCAACCCATTCTAACTTCGAAAACAAAAAATGAGTATTCACTGGGCCTGGTTCATTTGGCCTCCGTGTGTTCTAGCCCAGGAATGACCGTCTCTACTTCATTGAGCTTACCGTCAAATGATTTGCGAAAGAAGAGAGTGCTCTTTAAATGCGATTTTTCTGTGTTGTACTGCTTTTTTGTATTCAAACTCATTGTTGAAACTTCAGCAAAAAGAATTGACTTAGTCAATACCAACATTGACTCCGTAAATGTGTCAACCTAGTCAGCGTTGTACAGTCGGACGTCTCAATATTTACCCCTGATAAGCATTTTAAAAAATAAAACACATGAAAATGAAGTTAACCTAATCTGAATAATAATTCTGGGAAAAATAATTTTGATGATTTTTCTGTCAGTCTAATACTGTTACATTTGTTCGAAGTCAAGATACTATTCGCCCGGAGAGGTTGATTCTAAAAGACATCGGAAAATCTATAATATTTTTTGAGTCGAGAAGGGCACACTGTAAACCAGATGCAAATTTTATAGCTTTATGCACATAGTACAGAGAGGATGCGACTGAATTGTGTTGGGAATTTTGATTACCTAAATTGCAGAATGGACGGAGTAGTTCATTTTCCTTGCGGAGGTTATTGCGTTTTATCTACTGTGAAATTTGGAAACGAAAC